GTAGGGAAACAACCCAGAAATCTAAATGAGATAAAAATCAATAACCGTAATCATTCAAGTATGTATTCACATTTTTATCAACTTTTTTTTTAAAAGAGGTTTTTCTTTTCAACAACTAATTAAAAGCCATTGAGAATGGGGAGCATGCATTCATCTCTGATATTTTCTGAACTTAAGTTACCCAAGAATTTGCACTACCCCACTACCTAAATTTATTTTCACAAACCACAGAGTCCTCATTATATGCAGCAAGACAGTCAGGAAGGAAGTATGAGGCAGTGTTTTAATACCAAGTCAGTAACCCTCCCTTTCTTTTAGTGCCTACACACATTGCCATTTATGACAGCGAAATGACTTCTATTGCCCAGGTAGAAGATACGCCAGGGAAAAATACATGCCATGCTTCTCCACTTTCTGCTTATCCCAAATTAAGCACTGAAGCGTGATGCCAAAGCAGTAAGTTGTAGCTTAGAAACAGTATGTACTTGACTAGCAGCTGCTATATAAAAAATAAATAAAAAAAAAAATCTCTGCTTCCAGTGATAAAGATATATTATAGAAACTGCAACAGCTACTGAGAAAGATTGTAGACTGGAGAAGGCTGAATGCCTGGTACACTGTAGCAAAGCTTCCTATACACCCTAGTTCACTGACAGACCAAGTAAAAGGGTCATCTTACCCACATCTTTCCTCAGACTATAACTGATCTACTAATTTCAAACAACTGTGGTCACCATCAAATAAGAGAGAACTCACTTAACGTTAAGAGGATACACACATTAATTCTCTTGGGCAGACACAGGGGGCATAGTGGGAAAATGAGAAACAGCTTATACGAGCGATTACGACTGCCTCCGGAATGAAGCAAACGTGGGTTTAAATTTACTTTTATACATTAAATTTGTGTTCATTGCTTAATCAAAAGAATACTCAACTGTATTGGAAAAAGCTAAGGCAACATCTCAAGTAGGGACAATTTATCTTAAATGAGTAGACATAATAACCAGTCCATTCAGAGACAGAGAGGCTGAAGACTGGGTGCTTGGCTTGTGCATATGAGATTTCCTATACACAAACAGCTCAGTTTAGTAGGCATTTTTGCCATTCAAGGATTAAGATATTCTCCTCGTTCCCCCTAAACTCAGACTTTTCCTAACTCGACACATCTTAAGTAACGGGCATACAATCCAATACTCCTGAATTCTGACATTACCAAGCTACAGTACGTCAGCCAAACAACTGCTTTAGGAAATCAAATACATGGTCTCAGCCTATTTCACTATTAGGTGCATTAACTTACACCACCCAAACAGGTTTAAGCTAGTATGTTTCAGCTCAGAATTACAGCAGTTTAAGTGGATCAGATAATAGGTGGAAAAATAGAAACCCCCTTACTCCCAGGAGTAACAGCACTTCAGAAAACCCTCAATGCACAAAGTTTCGGGTCTCCCCTGTCCCCCCATGAAGAACAATGAGCACAGAATCAGGCGTGCTGAGGAGCAACCAACAGAAGTACTATCAAGAGCTACTGTGATTATGCTGACTTCAAAACAGAGCCCAGCAGCGGCCGTGCCCTCGTGAGACAGCTCCACAGCAAACATCAACTGCACTTGAGGCACTTCAGTTCGGCACTGCACACACCTCCTTCCCACCCCTCATCAGGAACTCGCCCGTGCCAGAACCATGGAGAGCTTAGAACTAAACAAGTGTCTCTTGAACTCTGGATGCTCTTCAGCGAAAAGGAAAACAACTTCACATTATTAAATAAAAATCAGAACACTTTACATTGATGAATTACAAAAGCTAGGACACAGCAGATTACATCTGCTGCTCTTGAGAGTAGTAAGGAGAAACTGAGATAGCTAGCAGGCACTCTCCTTAAAACTTTTGGTGATGAACTTAATATTTTGAAGCACTGCACATCCACTCCCACCCCCCCAAATGAAATAGCTTTGAATAATTAGTTTTAACAAAATTATTGCCAGCAGAAATTCAGAGAAGATCTCAACAACTGACTTCACTTTTGAAAGGGTAGGCTTTACAGTAGTAAATACTTTGAAATATAGTATTTGTCTGTGTGCCTTTTATAGGTGTCATATACGATGGTTTGTCTTGTAGTGACTGCGAAACCACTGTTTGTACTTCCACTGAATAGAGCTTTTAAATGTAACATTACTAGTCAATATTAATTTGACATATGTCAGCTTACTATTTTCAGCACAAGTATTCAGAAGCAAGTTAGGAAGAATATGAAAGTTACAAAAATAAACCCAAAATGTGCCTTTCATTGTACTGTATAATTAAAAACCATGTTACTTACAGTTGGGATGCATATCTTGCTCAAGGGATTGCCATCCAGTAGGTATGAGCCATTAAAGGTCACATATTCATCATAATATTGAGGTGCCTGAGGAATAACACTGCACAGTAGTTTACGCTTCTCTTCTATTTTTTTTCTTATGTGCAAGTATTCAAAATATGGGTTTGCTCTCTCAGAACTGTATGGCTGGATCTCTTCAAGTTTCAAAGAATCAACGATAGCTGCCAGTGACTGCTGGGTTTTCTCCTTAGCCTGCAGCAAAGAAGGGTTCACTTGCACAGGCTGAGGCACACGCGACACCTTTCTTTTACGTGGATGATGTACCTGAGCATCATCCTCTTCAGTTAATCTAATCCTTGCTTTCATAGACGCTGACGATTCAGACTCTTTTTCTGATGTCTGCGTGCAGCCAAGAGGATTCTGCTTACCCTGGTTAGCAAGCATATTTGCTCTGTTCCTCGTGATTCTTTGGGGTACTTCTTGCTGCCCCACCTTCTGATCCTCAGGATTTTCTTCTTCTAGTTTAACTGTTTGGCTGTATTTATGCACCTCTTCCTGTGTAATCTGCTGTGAACTATTTTCCAAATTAGATAAAGAGGAATATCGTGGTGGATCATCTGTCAACGCACTTTCTCTGTCTGCAGTGCAGGTTTTTTTATTAGCCGATTCGTTTGTAATTCCCTTTGACATTCCTGAACTTAGTTCACAGAGATCAATGTTGGCTTTATTATCAACAACATGCACTGAAACCAACTTTTCTTGTTGGCCTTTTTCGTTTCGAATGTCTGAAGTATCTGCTGTGTTACTATCCACTTCACTCTGAGCATTCTTACAAACAACTTTACTGAATGTGTATGAATTTACATTTAATTGTGAACTCGTATCACTTTCAGGAGTATCTTTTTCTAACGGTACCATAGGTAAATCATTTGCCCTTTCATAGCTCTGTGAAATATCCTTCACAGAGCTCTCAGGATGTATAGCAATGGGTGCGTCACCCTTCTTCATGTCTGAAGGGAAGATGGCATTTGCCAGCTCTCTGGTACTAGTGGCATCTGTATCCAAAGTAGAAGTTGTAGTTTGAGCTAGATTTTGTTGTTGTACAAATAATGAATCTTGACTGCTGAGGCCTAGTAAAGAAATGTGTTTAGACACATCTGGGTGTGGCTGGATAGGTAAAGAACAAGGTGACTGTGAAGGCAAAAACGATGCAGATTCTTGAGAACTGGAGCTTCCCTTAATTTCAGCATGCTGAGGCAAAAATTCAGGTACTTGTTGCTCTTTTAACGTCCTGTTTTCAGAATTATGCGTTGCTATAACAGTGTTAGTATCTTGCTCTGATACACCACAACCTGAGCCGTTAAACTCATTGTTCAATGAATTAAGTCTGTCAGAAGGCACATCCCATGGTTTGGTTTGCTGAGTCACACCACTTTGACTACATGGCTCCAAACGTGTACTATAGTCTTCTGAAGGGCTCATCTGAGCAATATTTTTAACGGTACTTGTGCCCGTTGTTGCCTGCTTGTTGCTAGCAGCTCCAGCTGGACTTGACGTAAAGTTTGACTGCAAACCTTGAAAATCTCTTTCAAGCATGCTACATGGTAGTTCTGGTTTAGGAGAAGTGCTAGCAGAAGTCTGACCTGATGGCAGAGCATTCTGATTATTTTCATCTGATGTGCAAGGCTGTTTGCTGTGTTCAGAAAGAGCAGGCGGCATGCTGCATCTTCGAACCTCTACAACAGGTCTACACTCATTTAAAACCAGTTTAACATCTTCAACAGATGCTGATCTAACGTATGTTGGTGGAAGCCTGTTTGTGAAAGGTAGCTTAATGCGATCTGGCAACTCGGCAAGACCATCAGTCTCTTTTTCAAGAAGGGCTGGTGATTTGGCACTTGCCAAAAATGGTGATTGCAAAAAAGACATTTGAGAATCAGAACTTTCTAGCATAAAGTCTGAATCATATTCCATTACAGGCCTTGGAGTAGTTACTGTGATATGGCAAGAATCCTCAGAACTTGCAACTGAAACCGCAGACACTGATCTGGAGCTCAGACCTGTCTTTTCACTCTCTGATTTGGGGGATCTATTTAAATTATCTAAAAACAAGGAAGGCTTTGTAACATTGACACTTCTCGTATCTACCGATTGCGATCTATTACTTGTAGCGTCTCTCAGCTGTTTTTCCTTCATACAAACATCTGGCAACTCTGAGCTTTTTGAACGAATCAGTTCTTTGCTTTTTACTTCAGCTAATAAGTGTTTTGGTTTTTCTTTCATCTTGTTAAGTTCTAAACAAGTGCGGTTTCTTAAACGTTCCTTCTCTTTCTGTTTTATTTTTTCTTTATGTTTTCTATGCCACTGCTCTATTTCCAGATCTTTAAGGCTAAGCATTCTTTCGAAACTAGTTTGCATTAAATCATCGTTGACTAATCTTTTTTCTTTAGGTCGAGCATCCTTTGGTGCAGGAGCTGGTTTAGGCTTAAGTTTTTCATGTTCGAGTTTTAGTTTAAGTAAACTACTTTGATGCAGTTTATCTTTATGCTTGTCCCTCTCTTTGTATCGGTCTATATCTTTATCTTTTTTATCCTTCTCTCTACCATCCAGAGTTTTCAACAAATCATCTTTTGTTTTTTCTTTCAAAGATGACAGTTTTTCATGCACTGCTTTATTACTTTCCATAATACCGCATCTCCTTTCCTCTTGCATGTGTTTTGAATTTGCTACTGTTGAGATCTCCTTGTCTTTGGATTTCTCTTTTTTTTCAAGTTCCTTTTCTTTGTCTTTAGTTCTATTTTTTTCTGATTTAGTATATTCAGACTCTTTCTCAGACTGTTTGACTTTTCTTTCAGTACAGTGTTTTTCTTTGCTTTCAGCCCAGTATCTGTCTTTATCAGTCTTGTCTTTGTCATGCTTTTTATCAGTTTTTTCTTTATTTCTCTCTTTGTCATCGAGCTTTTTAAGAGTTCCCATGTTTTTTATTTTGTCATTTTCCTTATGGCATCTTTCTGCTTGCTGGAAATTGGGCTTCTCCTTTACTTTCTCTGTATTTTCATTTACTTCTGCTTTTTCTTTCTCCATCTTGTATTCAAGTTTTATCTTTTTCTCTTTTTCTCCATTTTTTCTTTCTATCTTTTCAACATCTTTTTCTTTTGCTGAGGTTCGCTTTTCAGTCTTTTCTTTATTTTCTTTTAAGTACTTTTCCTGCTTTTCTGTATCTGTTTCTTTTTCTATTAAGTGCATGCTGGCTGCCTCATCTTTAACACCAAAGCAGAACAATTCAATTTCTTTATCTGCATGTGTAATTTCTTTTTCTTCTTTTGTATCTTTTATTTTTTCATCCTTGAGAAACTTCTCATTTTCCTTTTTGTTCTTCTCTTTCTCTCGCTCCTCTTTAGCACTTCTCTCTTTCTGGAACTGTCTCTCCTTAACCAACTTATCTTCTTTTGCCACAGCTTTTTCTAGCTTTGATTTTCTGTCTGAAGAAAGAGATTCATGTTCTATATTTAACAACATATCTTCATTTTCATCACTTTTGAAAAAGTTCTCTTTCCAAAATTCTCTGTCAAACTCAATACTTCTTTGAACCTCTTTATGTTTATGTTTTTCCTTCTCCCCATCCTGTTCCTTTTTGTGCTTGTCCTTTTCTCTTTCTTTGTGCCTTAATTTATGCTTTTTAAGTGTTTTGCCTTCCTTGTCAATCTTTCTCAGAGTACACTCTGAATTCTCAAATGTTGAGCTATTATCTTCCTCTTTAATTTTAGGCCTAGATTTTTCACCGAATTCTAAGTGAAAATCTTTCTGGTGATGCTTGCTTTTCTCTTTGTGCTTGCAAGATTTGCCACTAGAACTTTCTACTAAATATTCAGAATCAGTGTTGTGATCATACCGAACTAATTCAGATTGCAGTGTTATTTCAGAACCTCCTGGTGATAAGCAAGTTTTGGTGTTTTCTTGCTTTAATGGTGTGGACTGCTTTTCACTTAATCCACAGGGATGCTTCGGAGATTTGCCAGCAGTGATGTGAAACAGATGTAAAGACTCTTCTTTTGGGGTGAAAGACTTCTTAAAGGTTTCTTCCTCTCTAGTTTTATCTAAAGAATCTAACCCAGAAGTAGCTATATTTGTTACTCTAGCATTTTCTTTTTCTTGCTTTAGTTCTTGATTCTCTTTATTTTTGCTCTGATTTTTCATTTTCCTTTTAACTTTGCCTTTTTGCTTGTGTTCATTTGTAACCATATATTCTTTCTTCTCTCTTACATCAGAATTTGACGTCTCTGAAATAGAGCAAGGAGAGACTACCTTCTTGTCCTGATGTATTTCTTCATCTGAACTTTCAGAACTTGAATACAGAACTCTAGATGGTTTCTGTTTTTTGCTTTTAAATGATTTCGAAAACATAACTTTTTCTTGTTTCACAAATAAGCTGTTCTTTTCAGCTTCAGTCTCATCCTCTTTCCTAGGGTCTTTTCTAAGGACATGTTTGTCATCGATCATTTTTTTCATTTCATCTTCATCATCATCTTTAAACTCATACTCATCAAGAGCAGATGGAAGTGGTGCCTTACTAGGGACCATTTGTTTGCTGTCATTGGCTACAGAGTCCTTTTCTGCTTCTGAATCAACATTCCCCTCTACACTGGAAGGATTTACAGATGGAGCTTCTTCAGAATCTAGAGTAAGAAAACCGAAAATTAGTTGAATACTGATGGGACATTATTCACACTTTTTAGCTCAGGATAAAATGGTTCAGTTCAGCAGTCATACTGCTATACAAACAAAGAAGAAAAAAACATTCAAAACACACAATAAACCTTCTCACTAGAAATAATATTTTTAAGAGAAAACAAAAGGTCATGCCATCAAAGTGCTCCCCACACCTTACAGCTCTCACTCAGGTATGTAAAAATATTAATTAGCATTTATAGCCCAATCTAATAAAAGCAAAGCACTTTAAATTTTGTAAACCTCATCTATTATGCATAATTCCTGCATAACCGGACTCTTTCTCAAGGACATCTTACTATGACAACTCTTTCCTCTAGGAATTAATCAACTTATGCTAACAACTAAACTATGTTCCTCCACATGAACTATTTAGTCATGTTTCAACAGCAGATAAGTTTTCATTCTTAAGAGACAAAGAGCTGTTCGTGCAAAGAAATTCCCTCATGAATCTTTATGCACCTGATATGGACAGCCTAAAGCAGACTGTGCTTATAATTCACTGCAACTGGTCTCAGCTATACAAGTGCATAGCATGGAGCAAGTAATTTGTCCTGGATGTCCTGGACTTCAAAGTCCAAAATGTAAACCCCTCAACTGTTCCTAAAATTAAATTTTAGGAAACATATGGAATGTTATCATCACCTGATCATATGAAAATCTAGAACTCAAAAATCTTTCAGAAGTATTTCTGGATGTATTTTTCCCTCCAAATAAGGTTCCAAGTCAAGCCTCTTCAGCTGAATCTATGAGTTTGCTCATAGAGTTATACTCATGTGAGACACCAGCTCCCGATTCATCTGCTAAGCATGTGAAATAAGTGACTTTGGGGATATTTCCCCCCAAGACAACCTCTCAGAAATCACTTTGCATCCTAATAAATACAGTATTTTTCTCTGTACCTTTTTCTGGTAAAACCACCATTCTGAGGTAGGGTTGACTTGGAGAGGGGGAAGTGCTTATTAAAGACACAGAGAGAGAGAAAAGGAAAAAAAGTCAGCATAAACATTTCAGATAATTCAACTGAAAGATCTGAAAACTACCTCGAACTAAAAGTGGAGAACAACCTTAGCAATAGCAACTGCTACCTGCAGCAATCTTAACAGCTAACACTACACAAAACATTAAAACCATCTAACTTCAGGTGAATTGATGCACTTGAAGAATACAATTAAATGGCTAATTTTACCTGAGCAACTGTCCTCATCATCAGAGATGGGCACCTCCCTTTTCAATAGCATTTCCAACTCTTCAGTTTCAGCAACATCAACAGGTCTCTCCCCATGCTTATTGGCTTGAAATGGATTTCCACCGTGTCGAAGCAACAGCTTCACAATCTGCAGCATTAAATAAACGAGCTTTTACGTTTTCCACAACATGTTACTTGACCAGCATAAGAATCTTCCATTGCACACGAAACATGGATAATGTGATATGCAATAATCCTAAACTCCTACCTATGAAATTGAGACTGCAAAGCAAGACTTCAGCAACCAGAATGCGAAGTCCAGGTATTCATAATTTGCTGGTTAAAAGAGGTAATGGGGAAGACTAAAGAAGTTGTCCTCTGTTACAGAGACATAGCATCATCATAAAGAAAAGCAACAGTGGCCTTTTGTTCTTGCTCTTCTAGCATTTCCTCACACAATTTATGTGGCTCCTCACCTACCAATAAGTCTGCTCCTCTGCACTCAATTCACTTCCTTGCTCCAAATTCTATAGCACTTAACTCTAAGGAACAGTAAAAGTTTTTCAAGTAACAGTACTATTGGTTTCCACAGCATTCCAGAAAAGCTCTGACAGAGATCCAAGTATCTTACTGGAGGAACAAGCTACCCCCATGCCCAACTGAATACAATAACTTTTTTTTGGTCTTATATGCTAAGAGTGGGGAAATTCGGCAGACAGGGATATGGTAACATGAAACTTCAGAATTTTTCTGATACATAACAAATTCTCAGTGAGATGGTCACTGATATGCATGATGAGACCAGACAAGCAAGAGGTCCTGTTCTCCAAATCTCTAATTTTATGCAAGCTCGATCGAAATAATCCCTTTTGTTTAGATAACTGTAAGAAACAGTTACTAAACAGTTAATAAAAATTTCACAGTCAGATTATTATAATTCTCTTCTCTAGCCTTTCCAGAATATCCTTTCAAACTGAACGCCTTGTTGGAAGATATACTTCATTCAAGGATATTTTCTATTTTTTGCTTTACACAGCAGATCATGCACATAGTAATGAAATAAGAGACATAAAAGGAGAGTGGAGTAATTTCTGCATCTAGTTTGCAGAAAACAAGAACAAATTCAGAAATTAATGTAAAATACCTGCTGTGCTGCATTTATCTTCTCTGCTAAGTCATTATTGGTATATTTTAAAAAAGAATAATAAAGAATATATATACATCAATGCTCTAATTCAAACGCCATGAACAAATACATAAAAATAAATGTAGGCTTTATAACTTCAAATACTTATATATAAAAAACCCCTTTATATATATAAAAAGCATATTTTACTTTCCTGTATGCACAGAAATAAAAAGTAATTTCCCAAATCCAGAGCATACTGTTCGGAGACATTTTTCTTTGAGAATTCTATACAGTAGAAGTCTCTCTTAAAACAAAAAGTCATCAAAATGTTTGTTTATTAAAAAAGTAAAGGTGAAACTTTTAAATATTTAAGAAAACAAATACTGGTAGAAAACATCTGGCAACAGAAGTAAGATTCAAAGAAAGATGAAACAAAGAAAACCAAGACAACTTTAAGATGCCCCCAAAACGGTAGAAGCAGAATTATAAAACCACATGACAGTAATCAGGACAGTTAGGATTTGTTCTAAAGACCAAGCATTTCAAACCACTTATTTATTCCCCTCCCACTCTCCCAGCAAACTCACATTTCTATGCCCACTGCTCGCAGAATCATGAAGTGGCGTATCGTCATCCAAGCCCTGTGTGTTCACATCGGCTCCCGCTGCTATCAGGACTTTTGCAACATCATAGTAGCCAACATTACAAGCTTCATGCAGCGGTGTCCAACCTAGAGCAAAGAGTGGCAAGTGTGCATTTGAAAGGTCAAAGATTTGTTTTTTTCTCTCTGCCATAGATCTCTATTGCCTTGAATCATTTCGCAACACACTTGCACACAGTAGTTGGCAGGAAGGTAATGCCATCCATCTGATGAACACCATGTGCTTTATCAACTTTAACCCTCATGCCAACAAATTCCAAATTTCACCGTGATTAAATTGAACACAGAAATCACTAATCAAACAGGAAGAGACAAAATCTGGCACAAAATCCCCAGGCTAAACATGTTAGAAATTCTTTGACTAGTGAGCATTTGAACACACTGTTAGCTATATATAAATAACATTATTCTACATGGAAACAGTTTAAAAAATACACTATTGGAAAGAAGTAGTATGGCAAATTATCATAACTAGTGCTCCTTTAGAGCTACTGAACATATACCAGGAATCACTAATAACATCCAGCAGCTATTAGTCTAGATAGCAAACTACTAATAAATATTGGCAGATATTGGAAGATATTCCTGATTATTTCCTAGAATATCAGTCATTTTTAGCAATTTTTATTTCCAAATTCATAATCTGAAGTTCAATGCTCATTTCTTGTAGCAGAGCCTCAACTGAAGAGACAATCAACCCACACATGCTATATTGCTTACCTCAATTTCCTCTCCCCAACTTGATGCCTTCCACTTTATAGCTGCCCTGAACTTCCAGCCTGCTGTTGATGCCCTCTCAAAGCCCAGTTCTGGGAAGGCATTCAACTTTTGTTTCCATAGTGCAAGCCTGGAAGAGTTTATTCACTGGAACTCTGCATCTAATCAGTAATGCATCTCACCAGTACATCCATGAAGAGGAGGTACAAGAAACAACTCCTGACATATAATCCCCTCAGTAAGGTGCTTTCTCATCTTCATCTCTCACTCAACTTCCCACTTGCCACTCATTTTAAAAAAAAAAAAAGTTTCTACCTTAGTCTGTGGCAAAACACTTCTTCCTGATCTTCGTATACTAGATTTCCCCTCCAGTCATCACTATGGTCTGTCACTCCCAGCACTGCCTGGCTAGCACCTCCTTCCTTCCATTTTCTTGTCATCTGTCTTTTTCCCCACTCACCCACGACGATGACACTCTTCTGCTCTCAGCCCTCTCACCCCTATCTTCTTCCCTCTTATTAACTCTCTCCAGAATTGATTCTTCTCCATGTTTTACTGCTTTGCCTTGCCATCCTATCACAATGTCAGCCTGCCAACTCAAGTCCTGGCTTGCTCTCAACATCTGTTTCCCTTATGCTTGTTCTCACACAGCAGCATCACTCTGGCAGATATCCCATGAGCAGGGTTACTTCCTCCATTAATAATTCATTTTCTGTTCCTTTCGTTCTGCCAAATTCTTGGCTAAAAAACCCGCTAATTCTCTAAACTTCACTGCATCCTAAATTCTTGCTTTGCTCCACCCATGACTCACTGCTCAAATCCTCCCCCTCTTCTTGACTTTTTCCTCTGCATAGGATTTTGCAGCTCAGCCACCTCTGCTTCTCACTTTGGATTACCAATGGAAAAGTATCTCACCTAATCCCAAATACCTCCTCCAGAGCTCTGGATAAAGTCTCTAATGACTTGCTCCCAAACAGTTCTCAGAACCAACTCTCAACCATTCTCCTCATCCTTTCATTGGCCTTTAAAATTAAAGATCTGTATGGAGTCAAGTTATGAAGTTAACTTGGTGCTGCGCATTGCATTTAGGGTTCAAACAGTGTTCGTAACACACCACTGTCCCAGTTCCTGCTTAACAGTGCTTGTACAGCATCAAGGCTTTCTCTCTCCCTCCCCCTGCACAAGACGCAGGGACGGGACACAGCTGTGACAGCTGACCCAAACTGACCAAAGGGATCATTGCAATGTCATGGTCACCAATAAAAGCTCAGAGAAAGGAGAAGGAAGGAGGGATGCTCGTAGTTATGGTGTTTGTCTTCCCAAGCAACCATTACACCTGCTGAGGCCTTGCTTCCCAGGAACTGGCTGGACATTTGCTTGCTGATGGGAAGTAGTGAATGAATTCCTCTTTTTCCTGTACTTGCACACATAGCTTTTGCTTTTCTTATTAAACAGTCTTTACTCAACTCATAAGGGTTTTTTTCCATCTTATTTTCTCCCTCTTCCTTGTTGAGGGGGAACGAGTGAGCAGCTGGGTGGGTGTCTGGCAGGCAGCCACAGTTAACCCACCACAACATCTCTTATTGAAGTGCTTCTATTCTTCCTGAGATTTCTATGAGTCTGTCTTCCCCTGAACTTCCCCTGCCTTTACTAAAACTGCTCTTTCAACAAGTTCTTCTCATCTCCCCTCTCAACTTCTCTGAAGATCCCACTAGGTTCTACTTCTGCTTCCTTTCTCTTCTTCCTCTACAAATGAGTTCTGGGCAGCCTCATCTTCAAACACAAGTTCAGCTACCCTCTGTACACCAAGAAATCACTGATGTGTTTCTTACCGAAAATCAAGATTTTAGTCCATCTCATTAATATTTTCTCTTGATGTCAAGTTTGAGCTGACAACTAATTGTACCGTATAGTTCTTAATTTCTTTCACTAGGGCCTGCTACCTCAGCTCATCTCACCATTCCCAGTGAGAGTATAATTCTCCTTATAACCAGACCCGTAAACTGAGCATCTTTAGCAGGCTTCACTGTAGGTCTAGTTAAAACCCTCATTCATACGTTCATTATGTTTTTGCTTCTATTATGCAATGTCTCTAAAGAAACTGCTAGTGCTGTCAGTTAATTATACCAACGAGTATTCTCAACATTCTCTTTACTCCCTCGGGATGCCAGCATATCCCCACAAATTTTGTCACCTTTTCTTCAGCATTACCCTTTGCATTAGGAGCACAGTCTTTCTGAACATAACCAAAAGCAATATGGCTCTTTCTTCTATTTATTTCCTCACTTTCCTATGATCTACTTCTACTGTGGGTGCAAAAAAGCCGGTGTTTAATGACTAATGTTGAGAGGTAGATTATTAGGAGCAGTTCGTTATCCTGTTTATATAATGTGCACTTGATACTTGTATTATTTTTAGGATTGTCCTTGCATTTAAGAGAGAAACAGCTACTGAATCCTACTTTTTTATAGATGTCACTGAGACCCCAACCCCGTAACAATCTCTGCACCAACCCCTTATCCTCTGATTTAGCCTTCCTTTCACACAGTTCCATCCCTCCTCGTTACTCCAACCCCCTTCTGTGCCCTAAACATCTACCCAATATGCCAGCTCCTAAGTCTAATGCCCTTTTATGGTGGTTGAGGAAAAACCAGCAGGCACTTTGGCTTATCTCAGTATGTAAATGCATTTAATTTGGTACCTGGCCAATCAACAGCTGGCAACTACTGAACCCAAAACTGCAGGTTCTGCCTTCTGTGCAAGCATTACTTTGGGGATCTCATATTTCCTCTGCTGGAGATTTTTTACTAAAACATGGAGAAACTTAACTACTGTGAGAGTATCAAGAGCAAAACAGGCCAAAGTTTGCCAGCAGGTTCTACAAAATTATTTAGGAGGCCTTGCAGACAAAGAGACAGGCAGCACAGACATTTCCTTATAGAAAGGTTACTAAACAGATACCAAGAAAAGTAAAGAAAGATACCAAATAAAAGATTAAAAATACGATACAAGTTACAACTTACCTTAAAGTTTATCAGTCAGTGCTGAAACCACAGCAGATACTGACATACCAAAACTAGTATTAACCTAGCAGGACTAGGTGACAAGTGCAAGCAATACCACACCCATCTGCCTTGGTGCGGATTTGCTGTCACAGTAATGCGACAACGTACATTCAGTCCAACCACCTTCACCATTACTAAGCTTTGCATCTCCTCACATTTTTATATATGCATACTGTGCAAAGGCCCTGGCCACACCTGAAACGTCATGGTATTATTATACCATTCTAATAATACACTATGCATTACAGTGTGCCAGTACTACCACTGCCATCAGAAATAAAAACATGATTTAAAATTTTCCAGTCAATTTTGTTAAATTTTTCATTTGCATATAGCATGAACTGAAATTTAACCTCTGACAACAACTTCAGCAGTAGTATTTAATTCACACAGATAGGAGAGCACGCATCAACTTACCTGCGAAATCTTTCACATTCACATTTGCACCTAAACTGATCAGCTCCTTAACCTGTTTAACATCCCCTCGAATGGCTGCCATATGTAGAGGAGTTTCCCCTCGTTCATTTCTCTTGTTAACTTTGTCTTTTTGTCTTGAAGAGGAGGTTGGAGTTTTCTTTTGTGTTGGTGTTGTTTGTAAGGGATGATTTAAGGTGGAATCTACAAAATAAGTTTTCAAATGTTCACTAAGTTATTTAACCCTATTTTTACTTCACTTCATTTTAACAATTTTATTCAAAGACTACAACTACCAGTGAATAATTGTATTTAAATAAATCATGTATTTGACACTTCACATGTGTCAACACAATGCCCATCTGCAATGTGCAAAATGGTATTTTGCAAGGTCTCACTATTTTTAAAGTAGGTTTCAAGGACAGATGAAGTCTATCCAAAATACAAGGTTCACATACACTGGTATAAATTCTGCTGAGAGAAGACAAAGCATAACCATGCAGATCAGCATCTACCCTGCTTCCCCTTCATCCAGCACACTTCCACTGTATTTTTATGTAGTGGGATGCCAGTTTAAGGAATTACTGGTTGTGCATTGTACTCCCTGCACTTTCTCAGCTGTGCCACCACACGTTTTTGGGTGGACTGGACAGTAAACCACTATACTACTAAAGTTTCTCAAAATTTTCTCAAAAATAAGGGAAGCCACAAAGCCAGATTTACACAAAAGGAGAAACTGCAGTATGACAGCCTGTATTGTATTTTCTGGTAGTCTTTCGTTACAGGGAGTCAGTTAAAATATTACACAGGTAAAACATACATACATGAAAATGTTTTAAATATAACTGGATCAAGGAAAGTTTGAAGTTCTGAATTAAAAACAAGGTGTTTCCCCTCTCCCATTAAATCCTAAGGAGACAATTCAGTTTCCTTCTAAATTAAAATCCTGCTCCAAATGAAGGCAATGAGACAGTAGTTAAACTTCATAAAAACCAGACAGTATTCCAGTTTTCAATTAATGCATATGGAACCGTGTTTGAGAGGCAAAAATAATCAAAAGAAAAGAGATTTTCAGGTTTTACAGCTATCATAATGCAAAGTTTCGCACATAAATACAGAAGGTCAAGAATTTTTCATCATATTACTCGTCAACGCACAATAGAGTTTTACCAGAATTACAAATAATTTAAAAAATTTTCAATAAAAAGCAAGGATTGTTGAAAACCAGCAGGGTTCAGAACATTCTGATTGGGACAGAATTAAAACAGGCAAGAGGAAGGAAACTGTTAACTTTGAAAGATCACCTGGACTGTTGTCTCTTGCTGTCATCTGCATGAGAAGTGCCATCTGTTTGCGCTCTGACAGAGGATAACCAAAAAGAATGCTAACTGGTGTTGATTTCTTATTTCCAGCATCCTTCTTCATTTTTTTTTTCTCCGGACCTTCCTTGTCTGGAAATATTAACATTTTAAAACTCAAAACTGCTGTTCTATTAGAGTATTTCTCTAGAAATAAAAACATCCTTTTAAGGTATGTGAACTGGTGATTGGTGGCAGGTGATGAAAGACAGGAATTGCATCTCTAATTTGCTGCACTTGCATTAGTTTTGGTTACCTGTTCTAACCATATCAGGATAATAAGCTACTGAGTCAGAGCACTTAAAGCTGTAAGGAGGATTACTAAAAATTTCTAAAAGATGAAAAACCTATTTCACAGCAGGGAGACTGTATATGTCGCAACTTTAATTTCCAGACCATCAAGTCAGGAGCTTAAGAAATTCTGTAAGATCAGCTAATTAACTTTCAGCCTTGAATACAGATCTGAGACTGTGCTCTATTCCACTTCTCTCAAGACACCATGTTAAAAATTAGGAAAAGACTTTTTAATATGAGTATTTGCAAGATTAATTGGATAAAAGATTGTTTCTCTCAAACTCATCCTGTTACTTCACCTTAGAGTCATTTCTTGTCTGAAATTTGTATCTTTCAAAAACATACAGCTATTTTATATACATAACTTCTCCCGTAAATATTCATAAAAGGAAAGTTGTTTAATATTTCATGTCCAAGTTTTAAACCAGGAGCTAAAATTACACATCTGAATAAACAGATCATTTCTAAAGCTATTCAGTACCTACAAACTCTCACAGATCTTCAGATTGGTTAAATGTGCTCTGAAACCAGACAACTTTTTAATACTTAACAAATTTCAAAACTAGAATTTTGTGGAATTTGGGAACTCTGTTCTATGTCTTCCCTCCTTTTCCAAAGTTCTTGCTTCATTTTTCTGAATAAAGGTCTCCTAAACCAAACACATGCATTTAAAGTATGACAGAAAACTGGTTTGTGATTAAGTGACTTTGACTGAATCGCCTTTAACTGGAGCAGTATTTAATGATCTTAACAGCAAACAAGTACAAACTCTCAATGCATCAAATTTCTTTTGGTACAACAATCTTCCACAGATCTCCATACCTGGTCATTATTGTTTAACTGTATTTTCTAGAGACTTACTAGTTTGCATTTATGCGTAGTGAAGACCATTCATTTTCTCTAATTACCTCATCTTTCCACGCAACTGCTCTTTTTCAGTCTTAACAAGTTCTTAAAAATTCAACATTTTGTATTTTGTAAGCAGCTTACATTACTTACATGTTAGATCTAGAATGTCTACCTTTTTCTTCAGACTCCCTAACATTACTACATGAATATAAACACACTGGATGTAAAAGATGGCTTAAGGAACCTCAGTCACATATTTGGTGACTTGAAATTAATATTTTTTTAAAGAGTTAAAAAAAAAAATTTCTAACCACTGGTGTCAAGAAGGAATGGTCTGAAGAATACTCTAACAGATTCAACCAACAAAAATGACACCTCCAAACCCTGAGCAAATAATTCCTTGGTTCTCTCCTTAAAAGCACAGGTTCAGCATTAGCTTTTCCAGAGACCTGCTCGCTCTACCGCATCCTCTCCTTTCGGAAGCTTCCCTACTGACCGCCTTCCCAAAGGGCCTTTAAGCAAGCAGCCAGAATCCTGAACCCCACAGCCACAAGCAAACCCAGCCCACCCTCCACGCCAGACTACTGACCACAGAGACGGGGACACAACTCAGCAAAGCGGTCTATTGCCTGCCGTCTCCTCTGTGGCTGGCTGATGTGCTAACCCCCATAAAGCAAGCAAGAACATGAAACAAAGCTCCGATCTAAAAATTACAACTGGGAATATGTAATAAATGAAAGGGGGGCAAGGGGGAAAGATGTTGGACTGGTTAATCAGACTTGGCCACACTAGTATGCTAGAATTTGGCTGGGAATTGGTTGAGGCTTGGTTGGAGTTGTTACCATTCATTAAATAAGCCTGGTTGCCACACTGGTGTTTTTAGTTTTTTGTGTAATAAGTTATTTCATCTTATTCTTACTGTGACTGATTACCAGCTGATGAGGCACTGTTCATCCGGTTTTACTTAACTGTAGTATTTTGGGCCATACTAAAAGAAAAAAAATATGGAAATGCAATTAAGCTACAGTCAAGGCTGGGGGAGGATTTTATTTTTATTACTGTCCCTGTTATCATACTGGTCTCCCAGTTTCCTTTCCTAAATCTCAACCTTAAACACCTGTATTAAAACTTCATTAAAAAAAAATCTGTCACCTGAAAAAGCAGAAGAATCTTAAAACAGAAGACTCCACTGAGGCAAACTTCACTAACCTACTGCAGAGGGCCAAAAAGTAATAAAAATTACAAATTAGAAGCTTAAGTCCCTTTGAGGTTCCTAACCATACCCATTCCCTGTTCCAGGAAGCCCGAAACTCTCTTTTGATTTTCTCCACTTCTGCCTTAGGCCCTCTCTGTGGCCTTTCTTGTGTCATTCATTTCCTCTCAATCCATTTTCTGCCTTCCTAGCCTGCTCTAAACCTCATCTTCTAGGCTTGATTACATACACAGGCTCTAGTAACGCAATGCTCTTGGGGCAGAGGAAGGCACGTCTTGAATTCCATAGTGACCAAATAAGAAATACATGACTTTACAGACTAAACAATTATAAACAAGACTATTTTAATGGAAAGCTACAGACCTAGGTACATATTAAAAGAACACTACAAATTTATCCATCACGTTTAAAAAGGAAACAAGATCTCTTTTACAGAAGTAATTGATGATATTTTTCTAAACTGCATGCATCTCATACTCCTGAATATCTAAAGATTCATTCAATATCCAAACCAACACTACTGACCTATTGGTAGAACATCTGCATAGGAAAATTTAAAGAGCACCTACAATGAAATTGTACTTCCAAGTTTTCTCTGTGAATATGCTGTTCTCTCTCCAAGGATAATGTACAGCATACCCTTCATTGACTAACGTAGTACTTCCATTAAAACAACACATTTCAGTTTGTCTGGCACAATCTGCTCTTTCTTAGCTTATGCTATTTACTGCTCATGATTCTTTTATTGAAAAAACACATTCACTTTCATCCTAAATTATTCTTTACAATTTTATAGCTATAGTCAGCTTGAGAAAATAATATATCAAAGTAAGTGAAACAAATCTTTTGACAATCTAGCTTTTACTTTTTTCACTATACAGTGTACTTTTCCAGGTATTTTTATCTGTTGGTTTTTGTTTTGGGGTTTTTGTTTGTTTGTTTTTGGTTTTTAAATCATGTTAGAAAAGCCTACTAAGTAAATGAGTGCAATTTACTTCCGTCTCATGTTTAGTGTTGTCAAACAACGTGAAGATCCTGAAGATCCTCCCCTACATATTGCAATGCATTTCAGTGGTGGGGCAAATTATTCTTCTGTTACTCTTTATTAACACAGTGTTTGCAAAGCATTTCTAGAGCTTACCAGTTAAAAGTACCAAATAAGAATACAACTGGTCTCACCAAGTTATACTGGAATTATGCCCTTACCACTCAAAAAAAGCCACAATGTTATTAAAATTTATATGAGAGTTCATATGTGTTTTCAGTAAATCTGAACAGTTCAATACACAAAATTAATATGGTCAACAACAAACCTTAAAAAAAAAAAAAGTCTCACGACTACAGCACCTGATACTCCATTCACTGGAGCATTGCTATTGCTTTTCAACCCCAAGATCCCATGCGTATGCCCTGGTTCTGAATGTACAAGATAAGACAACATAGGACAAAAGGGGTAGAAGAAAGCAAAAGGAAGGGAGTAGGGCATATGAAAGAGAAAGTTAGTTATTGGTGTATAAAAATAAGATAGTAAAAAAACTACTTTTGTCATTTTTTTGGTTTTGTTTCTTGTTTTTTCTTGTGGGCTTTTGTGTTTTGTTTTTTCTTTTTTAAAATCCAAGGAAAACAGCAATGCAATTGTTGATAAAGAAGCTACACTTCCACAGAAGATTTCTTATTGGGAACCCCCGTTATGCTTATTGCGGATTATATTAATGATTTGTTTTCACTGCTCCAAGAATATCATCACGCAGTACGCTATACTTTATTTAGCAGGAAAAGACCAATTTAACATTCATGAACTTTGACTTTTTAGATATTCTTTATCTTGTGGTAACAGAAAACTTTTCACAGCTGTGTACTTGATGTTCATATAATTTGAACAGTAATAACTTCCCTAATAGAGGAATAATATCAGTTCAAGCAATTAAGTTTGGGTAGAACTCCATGTATAAAATTGACTGTTAAAGTCAATTAGGCTTGGGGTTTTGTGGGGGTTTTTTTTTAGGTTTTGAGCATTTCGTTTTCAAAGTCTGTGGAATACAAGTATCTTCTTCTACATTAACTTTCTTGTCACCTTTTGGTGTTCTTTGGCAGTTAGAAACAGTATGTCAGGGAATTTCTTACCTGTTATTAAAAAAAAATAATAATCAAAACTCTTCAAGTGGCTTCATGTTCAATTATCTTTATTAAATAACTTTCATAACGTGCAGTCAAATCTACCTGGACAACATTCCTTTTAAGTTTTTCCAAGGTTTTACTTTTGCCATGTAAGCTTTTCACGTAACACTTTAAAACAAAAGATTTAAAAAATAGCCAAGTCATGTGAAACAGTGATTTAGGTGCATTTGAGCACCTATTTGTAGAAGAGCCTCATGAAATTCACTCACAGTACTTAAACATACTGGCACAAGAAACATCAGAATCACTGGAGATTATTTTAGGAGAACTTATACATGACAGATTATGTCCCAAGGCAACGAATACTGTATCTGGTTTGGGTTTTTTGTTTCCTTTTTTTGTAAATCTGGATAAATCACAAATTCTCACTCAAGTAATTTCTAAATGTTTTAGAAAAACAAATTATTAAATAATGTAACATGGATTTCTTAAAACAAATCATGCCAAAGTAACAGAATATTCCATTTGGGAAAATAACCACCTTAGTGCATAAAGGAAATAACACAAAACGACCAAATTCCAACTTCAGGGCTCATGATAGTCTGGTTTCATGTAAAATTCCTATCATAGTGTCAATTGTAAGGAATAACAGGATTAAGAAATAGGGCCACGTGAAGCTAAAATATGAACTGATTGAAATAAATGCTTCTAAGGATGTTGTAAGCCTGAGTGATATACAAGAAAAGACTCATATGCTTATTACCAACAACTGCAGAAGACAGGTCAAGATGATCAATTCTGCAGATGACAAAGAGAGAGATGGAGTTATCAAGATCTGTGTGACTGTGGCAATCTGACTGAAGTTATTTTAAAGAGGAACACATCATGATTGACTGCCGCTTCCTATCCTCAGTCAAAGAGAAAGATTGGAATGTGATGAAGAGACCTCAAAGTATACTGTGCGCTGTAGAGATATCAAGGTACTATGGTGATACCTAATTAATCAAGTTTATGGTATATGTATTTAACCAAACCAACACATACACACACAAAAAGCCACCTCCACTTCGCTGCCTCTAGCCCAAACAACAGTTAAAGAAACCAGTAATAGTTGAGCACTAAGTCCCAATGCAGCAAGCAGTAACAGAGCGTGTGAACAGTCCCTCCAACAGCCCCACTGACCTCTGCAACTATGGGAAGCCCAAGTACAGAAATTGTGTTACTACGAGGTACATGTGGAACATAAAGAGGTCAGCTGTTTTGCTCTTCTGAATGTCAATTAAACACTAAAAAAATATGACTGTGCCTCGTTTGGACTACTTTAAAGACAGAAACTGAAAGGGTCAGAAAACAAAACCGAGATGCTACTATATATAGAAAATCTGGAGAACATAATTTCCAAGGAAAGATCAACAAATTAGCACATTCAGCATAATTGTAACTCTTGTTCTTCCTGAATAATCAACTATATACCAAGACTACCAAAAAAATGAGAAAAAAAAAAAAAAAAAGAGAAAAAAGCCTACGCTTACCTTCACAACAAAGAGATTTTCCTGATCTGCAGTTATGTTTAATTATTATGAAAAATTCAAACTTCTCTCTTCAGACTAATAAAGTGGAGAACGCAAACAAACTTGTCCTTTGCAAAAACAACAGTTGCCTGTTGTTCTTATTCTGATAACCACATCAGAGGTTATTTAAGAATAACCAGATTCATTAAATAAATCAACAAAATTTAAATAATGCTGTTTGAGCAGTCTAAATAAGTGATGGATTTTCAATTAAATTACGTTTTTGGATTGGGAGACTTCAAATCAGAGAACTTATTAATAAAGGTATGAAAAACACTACTCCTTCCACCATCAATTCCACCAGCCTTAATCAAAGTTTGCATATAGAATCCTTTGTAAGCTTAACTTAGATAAGGGTTAAAGATATACTGCAGAATTTGCACTATAAATAAATGTGACTGTAGTATATATATATATCTCGTATTCGCCTTTTGTGGTTGCTCCAATCAAAGAATGGGGATGTGATAACAGAGCCCTCTGTTCAGGAGAGCCATCCAAACCAGGGCAGCAGAAGAGGCCCACCCCCGCGCAAGGGCCGCGGCTGAGCATGGTGACCCTCGCCTCCCGCACGGGATGCCGTACCACTGCCGTGCTGCCCTGGGCCCGCTGGCCTCTTCGGGAGACCGAAGCTCTCCTCTGACTCCCGTTACCTTTCAGCCCTCCACAGACTTCTCAGCCACTGCAGGCATCTCAGCCGGCACTGCACAACTGCTGAGGCAACTGGACCCAGTCCTAATCAGTATGAAATTATTCAGAAAGTAACCTAAAGGCTAAATCTGAAAATATTTAATATTAATTTATTGCAGCAGTTTCTTAGGCAAAAACACTGATTTAAATCTAAATTTAGACAAACAGGAGGACTAGAATTGTTCTAGACTCTTAAGGGATACTACAAATGCTGTTTGATTTCAGTCTTGCCAAAACTGACAGGGTGTAGCAGGAATCAAATTTTAAAAATTATTTCCAGATAAAGTTAACATTCAGTTTGGCTGTCCATAGTCATTATTACTTATAGTTTCTAGACAATACCTGAACCAAAAAAACCCCACCACAAAAAGGAGCAAGAGGTGGAATTGCAGAGGGCAATTTTTAGAAAAATAAAGCAAAAAAGACAAAATCTTAGTTTATGAATAAATACTCTGGAGATAGAACCGAGACAGATCTAATGATGTAAAGCTCTAAAAATTAGGTATTCTCATTCTTTGACTGATTTACCTGCCTAAACAGGACGAAACCCAATTATCATGGGGCTTCTACAATCAGCTAGCAACCCTATCATCTACCTTGGAGATAAGCCATTTATTAAACTATTAATTAAAATTTTCATCCTATAACTACTTTTTATGGCATTTCTTACGTTCACGCAGATACATTTTTAGAAGACCCTAGAACTTTAAAAACATTTGAAAAATCAAACTCAATGGTCTTATCACCTGTTACAGAGAAACTACTTAGCAAAGCAGTAAGAACATTTTGTTATTCTGAACTCTGAAAAAAACATATTGAAAGGCTATTAAAAATAAAACCATTGGGGAAAGGATAAAATACATCCTGCAACTGTAATGGACAGTGGGAAGAATAGAGTAGTACCACCTATTTTTTCAGATTTTTCAATTATGAATCGTATACACAAGCTTTGACCATTTCCCTAGAATGCCACTACAGATTTTCACAAAGTATCAGGAGAAAACTGAGATTTTTATTTACTTATTTATTTATTTTTGGTAAACACTTACTACTAGCTGATAGGAAGCTTTTCATCACCTCTTCTTTCTCCCCTCTGTCTCTGGTTACACTCTTATCTCCAAAAACTTTCCTCCTTCTCAGATAACATTTGCCATTCTCTGTACACAGTTAGCAGGGAGACACTTCTGTCAGACGTAATGGTTTAGTCCCGTGATGGCAAACCTTTTCAATGTATAATGCCAAGTTTGTGTCAGAACCAGCACCGCATTTCATGATCGCTGATGTCAGTCCTGACCCTTGTCAGTGACAAACTTAGCACCAATGTCAGTGGTTAATTCCCACTGGTCTAATCTATCGGTGAGATACAGAATCAGCATTGCAAGAACTGTTTTTTCATCCCAGTAATGCTTCTGCCTCTAAAGTTTCTGGGAAGCTTATGTACCAAGTTCCTCATCTGTGAAGCGGGGTAGTTGCTCTGACCTCCTTACCTTGGCAGTAATGAAATGAACCGACCACGATGTTTGCCACACAGCACTTCAAAGCTACGTGCCTTCTATCATTCTATTAAGTATTTCTTGCCCCTGCCTGAACTATTTATTTCATCTCCCTGCTACAACTGGTAACAAACAGATTTTGTAGTGTGTGCATCATCTTTTTGTGCATGCCTAAGTGCCTAGGGTAATCAGTCTTGTTTGTGGGAACTGTGACAACAGATGCTATAAGCAAGAGAAACACAAAAAAATTACATTACATTACCTTACAAGATGCTGTGACAATGAATTATTTGAAGTTGATGGGGGTGGGGAGAGACGACAGAAGATATTCAACACAGAAAACATTAGATAAACACTAAATATTACTTCTAAATATATTTATTTCCATTATGAAAGACAGTTAGGATCTAATACCAAGTAATACATTTAGTAAAGCAGATGCTGGAAGCACACTTCTAATCTATACACGGTCTTTTCAGTATCAACTGGCATCATGAATAGTGTAAGACTAGAATTCTGTAAAACCACTGAAAACAGAGATATAAAGCCAAGAGTATTGTTTTGTAATGCGACTATTTCAAATTTGGATTTCATACTATGTTCTCTTTACAGTGACAAAAACACGTATGTAATATCCAGGAGCCAAATCTTCTACATGAAATCAATCCTGGACAAAGATTAAACAGGTACTGAGGTATATACTTCTGTGTTGTATTTAAATCTAAGCATATTAAGGGAATTACCTGTTTATGAAAACATTGAAATGTACAATGAGCACTGTATAAGAAACTGCAGTACTGAACTTCTGAGAACTTTGGGGAGCATGCCTTATGGTGGCCTTCCAGAGGGCATGGATACTGTTCTGCTACCAACAGAACTATTACTGAACGATGACATAGATAACTAATTACCTAGACTCAGAGATAACTGTACTTTTGGAATACATCCATATCCCTCCATCTTGATTTGAAAAAAAAGCCATGTTAAGAATGGTATTTTGAAGTCTTGAAATCGGTTCTAATAGAATATGCTTAAGTTCGGAAGAACTACCAGCCTGTGCAGAAAAGGTACCATGAACAGATCACAGGAGCTTAGACTGAAAGAAAAGTTCGCTCTCCATGGCTAGTTTAGTTAGCCCCATAACCTTAGCAACCTTTTCTTTTACATGGAGGACAGTAGACCTATCTTTCCCACTCTCCCTCCCCCAAAAAAAGGGCTATGAAAGGCTGACAGCTGTGTCTCAGATCAAGGCACTTACATGTCTTTTCGTCAGTTTACTTGTTCAAACAAACAGACCTCCAGAGATGACAATGAAAAGAAAGATTTATTACTAAAATAGAAGCAAAAGAATGAGGTTAGGAAACAACTGGAAAATGTAGGTAAATGATGCTGGCATGGTAGCTCTTGCTAATGATAGGATGAAAGCCTATCAGACTGAGATGCAACAATCAGAAGCAAGCAAGCAACTTTTATACTTAGTATCCTTTTTTATAGGGAAAAAAATAATCAATATAAAAACATAATATACAATGAATTAAATTAGGACGTATTTTACCAACAAATAATTAGTTAAGGAAATAAAAAGGTTCTACCTGTGTCTGAATTGCGATCTTCATTTCTGGATGGACTAATAGTAAAAGGAAGTTTACGTTTCATGGAAGACTTTTCTTTCATCTCCTTCCCCACATCACTCCTATCCACTTTTGGAGTTTTGCTGTAGGATGCAATCTTGTCCTTGCTCTAATATAAATAAAAAGTATACTAAGTAATTTTTGCATAAAGCAGACTAGGCTTATAACTGTATACAGACTGAAAAGACTGCTATGCGAGAGTGTACATGCATGTGTGTAAGTATGTGTATTACATAGTTTATTCAAAAACTTTTAAAGTAACCTTACTAAAAATTGTCAATGGCATTTCTTTCTTTTTAAAATTTGTATCTTCTATGTAATTTCTACTTCCAAATACATCACTGTAGAACTGCTGTTCGCTATTAGAGCCTTGATTAACAAGTAAAGGAACACCACAAACTGGAGAAGAATTTGCTAACTCTTAATGACCATCCCAATTTCCTTCCCTGACCTTACCATAATAATCACACTAAAAGCACATTAAAAGCCCACACTGCAATTCAGATTGTGAATAGTAACACAGCAACAACAAAAAACCCTCTAACAACCCTCTCCTGCCTCCACCCCCACCCTGTAATCCATCCACACAGAACTCCCTTTCTATTTCAACACAAATAATAGTGTACTGTTTCATTTTCTAAAGCAAAATTTACTAAGAATTTTGAAACTCTATGAAGAAACTTTTTTAACTGGTACCAAATTTAGAAAAAATAGGTACAAGCCATTTGGAATTTTTAATTGCATAAATCTGGGATTTTTGGCTTATAAAACATATTTCAAGATCAACAGAGAAAACCCTAGATGGGCACAATATTAACTTATGCTTAATTTCTTTAATAATACAGGAGGTCAAAGTATGCAAAAGATACCAGGTTAGTGTGAGGGCTGCTAGAGAGAACCCTCTGCCAACCCCAATATTTTAGCCTACCCGTCGAGATGCAATGTAGAGACATACGGTTTTCTCTTCATTACATGCTGCAGAAACACATTATCAGGCTATGTCAGCTATCACAACTCCACAGCTTTGTATCATTCTTAACTGATGACCAGATGAAACCACTAACAGATTCATTTTCTAAAGGTAGAAGAGGCACATAGCACCGACTCGCCGATCAGTGAAAAACAAAAGGCTGCTCCTTGGCACTTCTGAAGCAAGAAGTTAAAGGATTTACTCCGATTAGAGGAAAACTAGAAAATAACACCAAGTAAAGGTACTATTCTCGAGGGCACCTTTCTTTTCTTTAAAAGCAAACACGGGTAAGAAGAGGAGTTTGATTATACCATCTGACACTCTGAGTTTAAACTGTTGCCAAAAGGGCAGGCAGAAGTGATTACAAAAAGAACCTGCGAGCAAACTACCATCTTCAGAGAACAAATGTCTGTACCAGGGAAATCGCAAAGAAGGCATCAGTCCATGTCAAGAGAATTCCTGAAGTAAAAGGTTGATGCCCTCAGGGAAAATCTGTCTTCAGAGTAAAACCCACACACCAAAACCAAAACCAACCCTCTTCGAAAACCCCCAAAGAAACAACAAACACATCCCTCCCCAGCCTCTTACATGCTAGAACAAGACATTTTAAAAACTTAAAAAAAAAAAAAAAAAACAAACTAAAAGAAAATCTAAAATCTTAAAACTCCTTAAGACTCCCCTAAGCCCTTGGGAGATAAAGCGTGTGTGCTGTGACTTTTGAAATTGGTTAATCTAACACAAATCCGTCTGTAAATTGACAAGAGCAGACCCAAACTCCCTTAAGCCCATTCTGATCTCTTCCCCTACACAAACCAGTTTTCCCAATTTGGCCCAGCCTCACCAAGAGCTCTCTCACACCTGTCCCACACAATCCAATTGCTTCTCATAAGTACATATGTAAGTTTCCCACAATAGGATACAGTAGTATTAAAACGTATTGCTTTCTCTAGAATATTGTCTTATGTTAGGTACTATGCAATAGAAAGGAACAATTAAAAATAATTTAAAATTCCTAAGCAGGGAACCTTGGTTTCAACTTTTTCTGTAGAAAAAAAAAGGCAAACTTTTTGCGGTTGGTAATGTTAAAAACAATCACTTTTTTTAGTACTAATCAGTAAAACAGATTGGGAGGTGCTCACAAAGAGACACAAGCCGCTTAAATAATTTGATAGCTTTACATTTATTCTTATTCTTACATTGTATATATGCATTATGTTAAATATGACTGATGCACTACTTTTTCTTTGATAATCACTAAATATTAATTTTGTGATTATCTAATTAGGAGGAGAGACAGTTCAAAATGCATACTTTCAGATAAATAAAGACACATTGAAAAATGAAAGAACAGGCCATACACAGACTACACAGAAATTGAAAAAACGAGAGTATTTTGTTCCTTAGCTATGGTGGAAAAAAAACATTTAGCCACCACCAATGGTGGACTTTCCAACCCAAAAGACGCAATGAACAGGGTGTTTGAGAAGTCTGTACAAAGTCAACGCTATTTAGTATTTCCAGTGACAATGCTCAAATAGAGATGCAATTAGATACGCAGGCATCATCACAACTGGGAGAGAGGGAGAAGCAAAGAGCACTGGCAAAGGGAAAGTAAAATGCCTAGTGAATTTGAAAAACAATCTAAATAGAAAACAGAACTGGAAAAGCCACGATAAAACCAAGGTTCTACAAATTGGTAAAAAATAATTAACTGTACAATCACAAGACCCCACATTAAAAGTCAGAAAACTCTTAACAGCCTCCTGGATTCAACTTCAAGAAAAGGAAAGCAAGAGGAGGTAGCAAGCCCGAAGGGTTAGAAGAGGCATTTCAATTTAAAGAGTGAGCATTCACTGTTCCAACTACTCCTGGTCACTGGTCTCTTTTTCAGGGTCTGACACAAGGTTCAAAATTCAGCATAAACAGGTCTATATATTAGTTTAACGTGATTCATGGAAGCAACCTAAAACAAAGCTGATGTCTTTTATAAAGTAACCTGTAACTTGGAATATCTGTGGACCTTCTAAACAGGTTCATTTATCTAAAGTGAAAACTGCTCATCAGATAAAACACCGAAAACATGATAATGTTCAGATACATAAACTACTGTGGCAAAGAGAAAGGCATTACATACTCTCCATGTCCACTACAGCCAAAGAACATTTAATGGCTTTAGTCTGCAACAAGAGACAAGCAAAGGTTATTTATCCTTCTGCTAAGTATCTAACTCTGTGCCAGTCAGCATAATTAAGTACCAGAATAAATTGCCCAAGGAGACTGGATTTTCCATCAGGCACAGCTTTAAAGAAAAGGTCTGGCAAACATCTGTCAAGAACCGAGCACAGCTTATTCGACTCTGGGGCACATGGACGAACTGGATCTGCACGCCTCAACATTTAATGCATGCCTCACTGGAGAGTGTAGTAACAAGGAAGAATTTTCTCTGTCAACAAAAGCATACTAGCATGCTATGAGGAACACATTTTAAATCTGTTCAACAGAAACCGTCTCAGAAGGCTAACAAATGGCAGTCCGTGCAATTTCTTGATAGCCCATTCCAGCTCTATTGTCTGGTATAGCTACAATCAATGACAACACACAAAAGGAGACAACAGAGTGCCATATATTCTCACAGATGTACTAAGCCCTGGGAGAATAAACAACCTTCTTCTGCCTATCAAAGATAATTAGATACTGAAGCATGTTCTGTATCGTATTAAAATGGCTTTGGGCACTATTGTTGAACTCTTCCAAGATGAGAGTTAATTCTTACAAACCCCAAAAGCCTTTCTCCTTCGGCCCACACATCTGTCATTTACTTTCTGAGTTTTGGCCATGTAAGTTCTAAAGTATAAATTCAGATAAATTAAAATCTCATTATGCTCTTATGTTTATAAAATATCTCATGCAAACACTGAACGGTCTATCCACTGTACACACTCTTACAATTTTTTTTATTTCTTTCAGGCTCCCAGGATGAGCAACTGAAATAAAAAGACACATACCCTAAAGCATGTATGATATAAACTCAGCTTATTAACAGGAATGTTATTCCTAATGAATTTTTTAAGCTCTCAGAAGACCTGAACACATAGCTATTCACTGGTTGCTAGAACAGCATAATAAGCATTAACTTCCACTGGACAAATATGAACATTAAGCCTCATAACAACAGTCACTTTGCTACATATCTCAGTCAACAGCTAAGAGCGCACAACCAGTAAGAGCTACGTGTTGTATCAACTATGAAAGGAAAGCCAAATTCTGCAAGTGCTTTTTCTTTTATCTTAACATATTAACCACTGGAATAGTCTTATACCACATACATTTAGGCTATTACAGTTTTTATTTTGAGAAGAACAATAAGGATTTTTTTAGGAAGTGGTGTCCTTTAACATTACTGTTCATTTGCAAGATGCACTGTTTTGTATGAACATTATTGCACATCAGGGCCTCCGCTGCCTACAGTGCACCTATGAACTTAGGAGGGAATACCAGTAATGAAAACTACCAATCTTCTGTTTGTTTACAGTCCTAAGAGATTAAGCTCCACAAGTAGTTCAAAGACATTTCTGCTTCAATAACAAAGTGGACATAGAAACAAACTGTTCATGTGATTATTTGACTATTTAACATCCTCACCATGTATTCAATTTTTCTCAAAATATGACAAAAGCAACCAAACTGTATTTATTATGCTAAGAAAAAAGAATACAGAAATATTAACTGCAACACTTAAATAATTCTGTAATTTCATTTAGGATCTCACGTTTCCAGTATTACGTATCAATTTATATAATAAAATCCCCAAACCAAACCCTACATTACTCTAATCTCACATTATACATTAGGCCAAGGTAGACAGCAAGCAAGACTGAACATAACAGTGCAAGCAGTTTATCAGCTTACTTTTTGGTATCAATGTAATTAGTCCACCATTGTGATTCTATATCTATGTCCTTGGTCAAACTTCCATCTTCCCCTAGATTTTAGTTTTCTAAGTAATCCTGCTTTCACTGGCATCTTAATCGCAGATACCAGGCAAGGTAGAATCTGACATATTTCCAGTTCCTATGCTGCTGACCAGTCTCAACAACAAACATTTCCTTATTAGAGCAACCAGCTAAGGACAAACCTTCACCCAAACCAATAAGACAATGAAAGGGTTTTATGTGACCATCAAAAATAGAATGCTAATTTATTCCTTTCTAAATCAAATCAAAATTTGCATATTTCCTGGTGGTTAAATAAATGACACCATGTTCACTCTTCTGTTCCCTGGAAAAAGTTATTCCTGTCTTCATACAAATTCGTACCTCCTCCTTTAATGCTCTGACAAGAGCTACACACCTCTGTTTCAGAAGATGACCTAACTTGGCAGAGATTGCAGGGTCTGGGGGCTACATGGCTCAGCTGAGGTAACTGCTGCTGCTACTAGCAGAGAGGGAACGGTTCATGGGGATCAGAGGCAGGAGATCACTGGAGAGGAAGGAGCCAGGACAACCAGCATACACCGAGCTGGGCACGAGGCAGTTCCTTGGGCAGTGGCTGCGGACTCGAGAGCCACTCTGGAAACCAGCACCGTGCTTTACAGCAGCAGGAGGCAGCAGGGAGAGGAGGTGAGGGGGGTCAGAGATGGAGAGCGGAGGAAGAAAAGGGGCCTCACAAGTAAACTCTTTATTTTGTTTGGTTGGTTGGTTTTTTGTTTGGTGGTTGTTCTTTTTTTTAAACTCAGACTGCAGAGCAATTTGTACATAAAATTCCAAGCCTAGGAAGGAAGTAATCTGCACTCTAAAAATACAATAATCTATTTCTATATGCTCAAACAAATGCATTCCAAGCATTTCAAGCCATACCTTTAGCAAAGAAACAGGGAAAACTTTAACTGACACATTCCAGCAAACCCACTATTTTTGCCTTGATTAAAGTGAACAAAAGATGAAAATTAATTTTAACCTCTTTGTTACTGATTTTTTAAAAAACTTTTAAAAATTACAAACACAACTAAAGCTGGAAAAAATTGACATCAGTTTTCCTAGCATGAGCAGCTGTTGATTACGACTTCAAGATTTTCCTGTGTCAAAAGCCTTTTTTCAGAAATACTGAAGTGTCAAGACAATGAGAGTTTATAAAGCCAGAAATTTTTTTTTTGTTAAATAAATAACCTAAAATCTTTACAAAATGTAACTTCCTTACAAGTCTGTAACTAAAAAGGCAGTATTTAACACCACTAAATTTCACTGCAATAGTCTTCCTATTCTTGCTGCTTGTAGGCCCAACATTCCACCTACTTTCCCAGTATTGAATGACACTTCAATTAACTTGACCATATCTCAAACCAGAATGGGACCAAAACAAAAAAAAAAAAAAAAGAAGAAGAAGAAGAAAACCCAACACTTTTTCATCCCTTTACTAGTAAGCCAATTTCCTTTCCCCATTTTACTCTGTTATCTTCCTCTTCTTATCTAAGTAGTTCATCACAACTAGCAGAAACAAAGACCTTTGCCTCACTTTACTGGGACCCATAAAACAAACTGGGAAATGACTAAAAACTCTAAAGTTTTCTATGAATGTTTTTGGAAGGCAAACAGTTTGAACTAGATGCTGGATCTTCTAATCTTTTCCTATTTTTTAATCTCTTCCTGTCTTATATCCATTCATTAAGTGGTCTTAGAGAGAATAGAGACTTCAACAAAATAGTAACAGTAAGCATGACCACACACACACACAATATCTCCTTTTCCGGAGAAGACAGTTTTAAACATCATTTGGGAGCTAAATGGATTGTCTCTCCTTAGGGCAATATACAACTCATCATTCATAATGCAGAATATTATTCTATCTTCTGTTATTCATTAGTACTACAGATAAACTCATCTATTGTACAAGTGTACTAGCCAGACAAAACAGAGAACTGGGTTATTTGCAACTTGGCTCTAGAAGTTTAAAAATGATGGGATACTTTACATTTATAAATAACAAACCAACCTTCAGTATTACTGGAGCTCCCATATTCCTTCACTCTCCAACACTCAAAAATGGATTGTACAATTTTCAAAGTGGACTCCCTTGTACAGGAGTTACTCTTAACCCTTCTGCAGCATTTGGCTTTCAAGTCCTCCTAACAGAGGGAACAAGTCCCTGTCTTGTGTTTGTTCATGGCTCTGTGCTCTGTCACAGGCCTTCAGAAACGTTTCATGTATTGGTTAAAGAGAGTAAGACACTGTAAAATTAAAAACAATTTGAATCATTGTTCTTGTGAGCGTATAAAGACTTCATATGATGTAAGATATGGGAACTATGCCCTAACTTACATCAAATAAACCCAATGTATCCAGCTTCCTTTTGAATTAAGTCGCAAGTTAAAATAAAAGGCATAAATTTTGTTCCCGAGTTTAATTTACAGTTAAAGCCATGTAAGAATTTATACTTTTTTTTCTGCACTCAAGATATCAGAATACAGAGTGATATTTAGTTCTTCCCATTACAGCAACACAAACTGCGATACAACACATGCTCTTCATTTCACCAAAATTAAATGGACATGAATATAATTTTGTTACCTTTCTTGCAGCTGGTTTTTCCACCATGGTGCTATCACTGTCAGAATTTTCAACTTGAACTGTTTTTGCAGATCCAAATTTGGGCATTTTATAGCTCTTTAGCTAGCTGCGTCTTGTATCAGTGGGTTCATCGTGCGTCTGAAAAACAACCAACATTATATAAATACACACACTGCAGTGTCATTTCAGGACAAATGTTGTTACTGCAGATGGTAGCAGAGCTGAATAATACCCCAAAAAAGATGACTAACGGTGACACCTGACTTCAAGCATCCTACTCATCTGCAGCTCAAACCTTGGGGCAAAAACCCAAAAGGTCTAACACGGCTACTGCTGGGGACAGCGTCATCAGAAAACCACCAAGTCAGCTGCTGAACTGCCTCATCCCTCTAACTCTCCTCTTTGACAGACTTAACACTTTTGGGTATTTGATGGCTCATTGGTTCACTATCTCACTCCACTTTATAGGCAATAAGACTGGGAAGATGCACAAGATCATTTCTAGCAACACTGTGAAGGGAAATTAAGCTTTCCAGTCTGGGAAACTGAAATATTGTCCACCCAAAATAATATAGAAAGAAGGTCAAATCTTGGTGATTTGCTATCCTTTCTGTTGGAACAAGAGATTCATGACAGAAGAAAAATCTTCTAAAGCTTAGACCTGGAACTAGAAACCTTAATTTCCACTGTCCAGCAAATTAATTACATTAGCCATCACTCTATATATGTATGTAAAGCTCCAAGAGCTCTGTGGTGTTTCATCTCCAGGGTACAGCGAGGAAGATTCACACAATGGAAGAGGTCCGATTTGTCTCTCCCACAGAATTGGGAGCCACTCTTCTTGCAAGAGTGCACAAGACGAAAGGTCAGGTGGAAAGTAAAACTGCGTCTGACATCATTTTAAAGCCAGTGACGTTTTATGGGCCTTTTTGAATGGATGTATTATGTTGCCAATATTTATGTGATCCCAGTCTTACTGAATCGTGTAGTAATTTTATGTCTCAGTGAGATGTTGTTTCAGGTGTGAGATTTCTATTGTTGCTTTACAGTTAAGATTCTGGGATCATCACATAGCAAATTCATTGCTGTTATAGGACCAGGGCCACTATTTCGGTTTGACACAGGTAACCGACAGCAGAGACTCGTATTTTCTCTTTGGCAGATGACTTTGAGAAAACCGTTTTGCATACTGGACCTGACACATAAAACTTTCGTGTTCAAAGTTCTACACAGCACACCACCCACCCACCCATCCCTCACAAGACCTAAACTATGGGAAATCCCCTTACAGAATACTTGGCCAAGATTGTTGTATACAATGGTATTAAAGTAACATCTTTGTTATTCTTCCAGAACAGGAGAGGAAGAACAAGAGGGGAAGGGAAGTTCAAAATGCTCAATCCTAAGGTCAGAAAATTAGGAAATGCTGCATTAAGGTCTGCTCTTTTCCTCCTCTTCCCCTACACCTCAGTTTTTTGTTTTTTTTTTTTGTTTTTAATATTAGCCACAAGCTTATGAAAAGCAGGAAGAGCTTAGTTAGAAACTGCCTCACATACAATACCCTGAAATCTTGTCTCCACTATGATACAACATTGTGAAATTCCTACTGTTCTACTCTTACCCAAGACAAAAGAAACATTAGTGTATTCCCTTCATTTATATAGTGTCAACAGGATTTATGCAGCCTTACTGATACAGAGAGCAATTGTTCATTTTAAACGGACATCAAAGCACACAGTTATTTGCCTTTTTATTTGGTTTTTGTAACGGGAAGAAAAAAGGTTATTGCTGCAATGGAGAGTACTCTAGAATGAGTTTCTTGTAGTTTACAAAACCACTTCTTAATCCTAAAAGAAGCAATGAGTTAGTATCTTCACGGACAATGACTACAGTGCTGATTACACCATACACAGAGTATTATCATAGTGGCAACTATCTCTGTTCTCATGGGTTTAAAAAGCAAACACAAGTCATAAATCTGTTTTTGCTCAGTTAGCCTCTCAAATCCTCTCTAAGTTTCACCTGCAACAATTCCCATTGTATATATCATCATCATTACAACTACTTTCAAACAGATCAATGTGTGAAAGTTATCTTCACTATTTCAATCAAAATATTTCTCATTGCATATGCTGCTGTTTTGTTTCCTTCCTTTTCTTCTGCTACTTGACTCCCTGAAACTACCTTCATCCCTGCTCTGCTCCTCCTTTCCTGGTTCTGTATCCCATTCTCTATACCCTTCCGGTACTGACAGGAAAGAGTCCAATTTCATGAGCTTAGTAACCTTAACTAGCTTAGGCTTGGCTCCATCCCTCTGATTTGCCTCACCAGAAGGGGCTAAACCTGCTTAACTGAACACAAGTTCCTCCTTCACAAAAGGCCCATCCTCCCCGCATATCCTTTCAAGTCTTACTGAACAGAAATACAGTTTATTTTTTAAAATGGTAGACAAAAAAAATTCAAGCTACAGGTATTATAGAGGGGGCAAAAGGATGATGAAAACATTTTAAAAATAAAATTTAAAGTATTTTTAAATAATACTTAACAAATAATACAAAAATATAAGTAAACAAAATCAGAAAGCATAAGATGTTCCCATTTTCTTCACCACATGATCAAAACTAAATGTGAATTCATTCAATTGTTGACCCTGAGCCAATTATAGCTTGAAGAGAAAACTGCTTTGGAAGCCCACGAAGACCGAATATCACATACTGGATTATTAAAGCAGAACCATCCGAACTATCACACTGACACACAGCGGTATTTCCGTTACGTGTTTTATGTAGCAGCTTGCTATTTCACAATCCCCGTGTGAAATACTTTTCACACAGACATAAATGCTTCAAATATTTGAGAGAAAAAATACTTTTCATAAAGGGTAGATTTTTTTTTTTTTATTTCCTAAGATACCCCCATGGTCCAGAAACATAAGCAAACTATTCAACCCATGATCACCTAGTACATATTACAATAAAATTCTGACCTGAAGAAGTGATTTTACTCACATTTTAACTTAATTTCTGTTTGCCTGCAGTTCAGTACCACTTCAACTCATGTTCTGAACGCAGTCAACAAACATTTGCATTCAAAGTGAAAATGAGAACATTAGCAGGTTCTCCCAGGGAAACCTAGATCTGTCTGCCTCAAGTTTTTGTTCAGGACTGTTTCTTAATGCAATTACGGGTTTATTAGGCTGTCTTGGTGGAATATTTCAAATTGCCAGAACCCTAAATTGAAAGTTAAACTCTTTACATCCAAATTATTCTCCTCTGTCACAACAAGCAGCACCACCACTTTTCATCTGATAAACATGCACAGCTGGGCTTTTTCTCTAACAAACTGATCTATTCCATTCTTTTCAATAAAACATAGAATCTGCTTCCTACTAAAGAAACTTCTCCGCATGTAACAAAATCAGATTTTCTGATTATGTTTGGATGTCTTTCCTGCACATTCATTATAAGATACCAATGTCCTATTATTTGAAACACTGTTAAACTTTTCTCTCAATCATTTTTCACCTAAAGGAACTAAAAAAACTCTATTTTCTCCTTAAAGTAATAAAAGTACGCATTTTGTCAGATCTACCGGCAGTGATATAAAAAGCTAAGACTATTTCATAAAAAACCCACCCCAAAAACCAAACAAACCTCCCCACCAACCACCAGAATTTCAGCTGTAACTACCTACAGAAAACGAGGTATGTAACGAATCTCTAATACCAACAAGTTACCGTATTAATTTGCCCTGCCCTCACCTACGCAAACCACAATGCATACAACACTCCAACGGCACCGCTGCCACTCTCGTTCAGGCCCTTTAGCGGAGCCTTCGCTTTCAGCCCAGTCTCCTGAGAAGCTGAGGCTCACGTGTTTCTGTTACGTGCCTACGTATGGCTCACCAACGACTTCCAAGCCTGTAGACAGATTTTCTTTAGACTGCAGAGAAAAGTTTTCAAATATATTAAGGACTCACAATTTTAATGGAAAAAGGTGGCTGGTGGATAACAATAATGATGATGTCACTGTTTTCCCCAAGGGAAGATTCCAAGAGGAGCCTCATGCCATACTGCACATAAGAAAACTCCACGAGATGGTTTTTATAAAGCACTTCCCTTCTTTGCCCCTAGTCACAGGGGACGTTTCAGTTGAGACCTGCAAGTTACCAGAGTCAATCAACCATAAGACATAAATCCGTAAGAAATTAAGCATCACTAGTTCTGATGTTCACATAACTATTTGTTTCCTTTCTAGTTTACAATGCATGCTTACCTTACTCCTGCACGTCTTCCCCATAACACATACAGCAAAAAGTTACACGATGCTTGGGGAAGGTTTGCTTTGGTAGCCCTGCCGTACAGTGATCTTGAAGGTTACCTGACTGCTATTATAACAATCAATGGGGCACACGACTGAACTTCTATGAGAATATTAGTAGTAGATGGGTTAATTTCCAAGATACTGCACTTATCCTGGAGCTCTAGAATGCATTTGCATTTAAGAAGCAGGGAATCTAGCATAAGGCAATCTTCTCCACTACCTCTGTTCTTCTGTATTTCCTGTATCTTATTTCATCTGCGGGGAGAAGAAAAATATCCCTCTCTTCCAATATGGATTTACTCCAAACCGGGAAACAGTGAACATTTCTGCTATAAATATTTGACAGGCGTGCTTCAGAATGTTTTGCTAAAATTAAACTTATGAAAATGACAGCTAAGGCTACATCTACATGAGCAAGAAGTACAGAATTATCCAGAGCGGATCATCTGTAGAGTGGAACAGCTGGTAACAAAAATTCAGAATTTACACTCGTCACGTTTAGCAGTTTTGCTCTGGGCTAGCTCTAGTGCAGTCCCATGTGTTAAACACACATTAAAGGCTGGAGCACATTCAGTACATTCCTGAACACATCTCTCGGCTTAAAACAGGAGGAATCAAGCTCTGAAGCCGCTGCATAGAGCAAACTAAACTCCAGTGTGGAGAGATAAGGACAGTCACTCTAACGGTGTATTCCTGATTCAAACTAAGATACTGACCTAGATTTCCTCTTAGCAATCTCCTCCCTCCCATTCCCAAGACTTTGTCTCTTCTAAGTTTATTTAGAAATGACTGGTATGATCTAGATCTCAGAGCTATTA